TCAGTACGATAGGGAGAAATAACCGCGGTTAACTGTAGTAAACCGAACGGTTAACCGCCCAGTTAACCGGATGGTTAACCGCGGTTAACCAACGGTTTTGAAGCGGTTTGAGCGACATGGGATGTCAATATCTTGCTTTGAAGCAATTCATCGAAAGAGAAAGGAAAAAAAATCACAATTCACGCGAGAGTCTATTCGAGAGAAAATCGTTGCACACGATTATTATACTTATCGGCGACATAGAGACTACCATGTCGATCGAAAGACAAACCAACGGGGTTAAAGAGCTCATTTTCTTTTGCTCCTTGACCCTTTCCACCGACAATTACAGTGCCTTGTTTCGTTCTTTGAGACCAACGCATTACACGATGGTTAAGCGTGTCTGCCACATAGAGTGTACCGAACGTATCAACGAAGAGTCCTTCCGGATACTCCAAAAAATATCCCTTAGTGAAAATATCCCTTTTAAGAAATGTCCTTTTATTAAAACATGACAAATAGTCACTGAAAATGTTCATTTGTGTTTTTTACTTTTTTACTTCAACGGGTTAAAATGCAATAGTTTATTTTTCATTCGCAACAAAACAAGAAAGCTAATGTAATAATTGATCAACAGTAATTTTGTTATTATTGAACAGATTAGGATGATGATGATGATGTCTCACCAGTCACGGCACAAATGTTCGGCTGCATTTAAAAATATTTAGTATTACATTTCTAATATTCGTGTAGGCACAATCAGTCGAAATGTAACAATGAGCAATGGTCATTCTTCTTTTCTCAGCTTTAAGCTACTAAACTTTATCTATTCATCCGTCCATAAATAAAGATTCTACTTAAATAACTTAAATCTATACCAACAAGTGTTTGAATTACAGCGACATCTGGGCGTTAGCCCATATCAATAACAAAGCATCAATTGATAAATAAAGTATATTTTTACGCAAAGGACATTTTTAAGTAAGGGACATTTTTCCACAGACCATTTTGATAAAGGACAATTAACCCGCGAGATATTTTTTCTAAGGGCCAAAATCCGGGGGCATTTCGTCAAAGGATATTTACTGAAGGACATTCGTGACATGATTCTTCGAAAGAGACCGTGGAAAATCGCCTAATTTGCCTTTCTTCTTTTATTTTTTAATAGCAAAACACACAATACCGAGAGTAAAATACAAAACAAAATCTGGTATATGATAGGAGAGCATGTGACTTTGGCTCGTCGATCTTTAAAAGTTCGCCAATGGTCGTGCACATGTCTGACGAATGTCTTCTATATTTTTCCGCATATTCTTGTAATATTGCAACAAATTAGAAACGTTGTTGGCCAACAATCGAATTTTAATGGCTTTTTGGTTAATACGCATATTTGATAATTCGTTTTTGATGGATCCTATTTGAGCGTTTGCTATTTTTAATTTTGGCGATAATTCTTGTATATCACTCTGCAATTGACGTGCCGAGAAACCAGTTTTAAGTGCATGTATGGCTCCTAAAAAACAGCCAGCTCCCATGCTGGCATCACCACCACTAAAACGATTACGACAGCAAGGGTGACTCCACCTAGAATGATACCACCCCATATTTTCCATTGATTAGCTTTATAACTGGGGTTTAATCTTATTTCATCGTTAAATGCGATAACATCATATTCTAATGAACTACATTTTTTTAATAAGTCACTTGGATCAAAATCATCGAGCAGCTTACTTTTTGGTTTTAATGCTTCAGCTTTATCAAGATCAAGTTCTTTGAATGTATCCAAGAGAAATTGTTTCACATTATTAAATAAATCTTTAACATTTAATTGAGATAAAATCTTGCTCATGGTCATGATTTTTTTGAGAATGAGAAACAAGAAACTGTCATTACACACGTATAAATATGACAAAATTAATGATCAAGCAAATAGTGAGGCTATATTCCAAGATGAAAAATACAGATCATTTACTCAGATAGTAATTACTATTTTATCTTTGTTACGCCTTCGAGTCAGATTGATCAACAGTAAAAATTAATTTGCAAGAAGTCTCGTTTGCTCACAAAACAAACGATTATGTCAGCTAGACAGAGCGGTTTCTTGAACGTGTGGGTGTGGGTATGAGACACGGGTATTATTCGCATGGTTTACACTCACACCCTCTCGATAGTGTCGAATTTGCAGTTGACTTTAGACAATATTATCGAGTCTCTACTATAACTCCGCAAAAATACAGCTGCGAGCATGATTAATGGGGAATTCATGGGGGACAAGGCGAAGTTTGCAAGTTTTGCTAAACTGTCTACAAGTACTAACTTAAATTTCAAGATTCTACTGAACATCGGCATAGCCGAAATTCAGATGGCAAAATTCCATAGAATTATTAGTTCGAATATGTATTCACGGGTCGTTTAATGCTAATTTAAATAATATATCATTTTCTTTGTTGGTAGTTAAAGTAAATTCAATTACATTTGTTTTCTCCTCCGAAAAATTGGTTTACTTTTTGCCCATGATATGATTCAGTGATATCAGCTGCTTAAAAAAGTGAAGTAATATCAAGGGAATTCTTTCTGGATAGTTTGATAATAAGTGATGGAATGAATCAATAGGTTAGTTTCGAAATGTATTCGAAAAATCAAAGCTACAAAACTTACTAGAATATATTTGTTTTGTGTCTAAAATGATTGTGGCAATGTCTGCAGTCCAAACACTTTTTCTTTCTAATTTATCGTGCGCACTGTTGAGTTTTTATCGTTTTACCTGACGCATTGTTCATACATGATATCTCGATCTTTTTCATCACCAACTAAGTATTTTCTTCCTTGGTTATTTCACATGTTGTGTAGAATATTAATGTTTCTTGAGAAAAACGACATACACAGTCGAACGTTTTTCTGCTTTCTACTTCTTCTATTGGCGTTGCTGTAATTATAAAGATGTGAATTTCTGTGCGCTGATCTGGGTGTGAATCAAAAGAAAACAATCATTCAGAGTATAATATTTCTCGAAACCATCGTAATCCTCAGTAACTTTAGCGCCCACACTCACACCCTCTAGTCTAAGTGTGCACCAAGCCCTACGTATAGAAATATTGAAACAAAAATGTGTGCCAAAAACAATTTTAAACCTTCACATTGATTTTTTATTGTGTCTAGTTGTCATCTGTGTGTTTGTTGAATGCTATTTAGGATGCATAAGTTACATTCGAATTTATATGTGAGCATGATAGATTGCATCACATATAATTCAACAAAGTCGACTAGCGTAGACTCCCTCACTACTTGAAGATTTTAATGTGCATGTGACTGAACAAAGAATAAGTGAACTCCATCATTCTACACACCCGCATTTATCTTAACATATTTTCTATATTTCTTTTGCTTTGAATAACAAAATTGTTATGTAAGACAAACGATTCGTTATACTGAATACATAGGCTTCAGTTGAGCACTGTGAAAAATTTTGATGAAAACAAGTTAATATCAAAAAATCTCCTCGTCATTTATTTGTGCGATAATTTTGAAACGAGAAATCATTAAGAAATGTTTCCTTTTCAACCATAAATACAACAGCCAATTGTTGTAAATACTGGATAAAATTTAGATCATGGTTGGAATACATATTATGTGCCAGCTCATGACATGTGACCATAAAATAAAAATTAACAATGGTAGATACAATAGAATTCGGTTCGTTTGGTTTTCGAAGATAATCTTGAAGTTGATCGGCAAAAACTTCCTTGAAATATCGAAGATTAAAGAAAAGTGCACCATTAGTATTGAATGCTATGCGAGCTAGAAAAGAAAAAAGTCAATATAGATCAGACGAATACACAAACTTACGTCCAACTTTATCATAAAACAGATGTAATGATTGAATATTAAGCCGAAAGACATTATCAGCAAGACCGGTGAGTAACCATGCGAGCTGTTTCGCTTGGTCGATCATTTTAGATGTTTTAGTTATGTTTTGTTCGAGATACAGCGGTATGGAAATATCAACATTTTTGAGACGTGTCATATTGGCGGCAGGTAAGTCTACACACGAGTAACAAATCTCTTCTTTGGTATGTTCATTCTGAATAAACTTAGGATTGACATACGCTTGACTGAGATCAATTATATGACGCATTTGTTCGACATTATTCACGTCAAATTCATTGAAATCTTTAGGGAAACGAATCACTGGTGCAGGATCCGAAGCGCGCCGTTGCTTTTTGGGCGATGGCACAGGTGGAACCTCATCAGGATACACTGAATTAGATGATCGTCGATTTCTTCTATTATGGATAAGCATCAGAATTAGTGCGACAGGAGCTAACACAGCTCTAAAGAAAGGCATTGTAGTTTTGAAGTTTTACAATGTTTGATGATGATGACGACTGTTTTTCGTTTATGATTTCATATCAATAATTTCATAAAAGAATATCTCCTTATGACAACTCAAAATCAAATACTTTTCTTTATCAAATTTCATTAGTTAACCGTTTATTTCTGCTTACTTTTTCCATAGAGGCATATTGATTTGTGCTGGCGCGACAATTTGTGCTAAATAAGTAAAATGTTCTTTATTGATTTATTGCTTGATGTGTTCAAGAATTTAACAAACTTACACATACTATCAAGCCAATCATCTACAGGAACACCACGCCGTCTGAGTGAATCCAAAGACGATGACAATCTGTCACTTATGGTATGAATCACAGTTTCCGGTGCATTTTTGAAAACAAATCGAGCCAGTTCGCTAGCAATATCGGGGTAGTCCAATTGTGATGTAGTCTCATCTTGTCGAAAGTACAATACCACTTCATTTTCTGTCTGTTCGAGTGCGCACGAGCTGCCAAATTGTTTCTAGAATTTAATTCGAATAAAAATCAGAAACATATTGAAAATACTTACGTCAAGTGTTTTAGTGCTATTTTGAAAAGTCAACTGACATTCAATATTGTTAACTTCGTACACTGATAAATTTGTACGGAGCGATTGAAAATGTTCTTCATGTGGACTGGCCAATGGCTCTAGCTATAGTCAATTGATAGTGATACTGTATTAGATGATTCACAATAATAATACTTACTCGATTATTTACAAATAAAAAACGAAGGCGAGATTGAATCAACGTGTACAGATCTTTACTTTTATCTGTTGTTTTAGGTTTGCCTATAATATTCGAAACAAAGACGAAAAAAATGAATTAGTAAAGCAAATAAATCATAGTTCTGATAAATGAAAAATGTATAAAATTTATCTAATGGTACGTCCATTACATTCGAACGTGATATGTTCTATTGAAGCATTCTCAATTAAACATATTAATTTATTTGTCATCTTTCAAAACGCTTGATAGCACTAAAATAGATGACAGATATTTCTGGTACAACTGACTACACCCTAAAAATATAAAATAACTTTTCTGACTCGACAACCATGAAGATTGTTGTTAAATTTATAGACTTCAATAATCGTCACAAATATAATTTTTCTTGATCTCATCTGTTGTGCATAAGATTTGACTGTACCTGTAGGCTTCAAGTCTCGCTTGACACAATTTGACAGCCATTGTGCTCCAAATTGCTCATATAGTTTAGTTAATTCTGGTTCGTTTGGAGAACATATTGGATGATGAGCGAGTACACACTGATGATCATCATCAAGATATATTTCAGTGGGCTTGACGATTCGATATGTAAAATTCTTGTTGTCATTGTTTAGTTGAATGCCAAAACACCATCGTTCATTCGTCAATCGTGTTTTCAGCGGATTCCTGTAAAGTTCCGGTGTGTCAGTCGAAGCAATCGCTATTTTTTTTAAACATTCCTTGTAAACACGAAGTTTTTTATGAATATTAACATCATTCGTCAAGTTAGAAAGATAAGTTTCTTGTCTCTCAATAAGCAGCTCAGCAAGCATCTGAACAGAAGGTGAATGCAGAACACCAACAGCCAAAAGAAATGCATTGGCTTCAGTTCCAAAATCGACGTAGTCAATCAGACCACTGGTATCATCGATCATCTCGTCAACTGACGGTACGAATTGTTTAATGAAAACATGTGATGGTTTCATCAATGTTGATACACCTGAAACTATCAAGTGAAAATTATATTTTGTGTTGACACTATTATCGACTAACCTTCCAAGGGAATAAAAGCAATATTTGACAGGCGTTTGATAAATACTTGATTTAGTCCATCAAGTCCATTTAAATAAGAAAATATGTGACAAGCCGATTCGAGTGTCAACAATTCAGTTTTTCTTTCCATGATAATATCAAATGCTTGTGTCAAAGTGGGATGTTCAGTAATACCGAGTAATGAAATATTGAAATGTTTTTCAAATAGCTGAACTACTTCAGGAAGAAGCGTACCACATAATGGATTCGAACTTTTATAAACTTTATCTGGTGCTGATAAGATGATATCAGTATCATTAGTCTTTGTAAGAAAACGCGACGGAAGAAATGGTTGTTGAATATTGCTTGTTTTCCATATTGTTGAATAATGTTTTTGAAAATTTTCTGCAAAAAATTCAAGTGCAATTGGTAGTTTATAATTTTTTCTTCTTTGTCCATTTTGACATTGATAATAATCATGTTCTTGAACAATTCGCTTGAGCAACATTTGTAAATCCGGTGCTTCACGTACACCAAGTTCCTTGAGAAAAGCATATTCGAGTGAGTACGAATCGATACCATACCAGTCAAGAATGATTAATTTGGACCATATAAGTTGTTCAGCAACAAATGGAAAATGAAGATCGTGTGGAAAATATTTCTGCTCGTTTTTTCTATTCGATTTGAGCGTTGTTCCTATACACAAATGCACATATAGTGGAATAATGAAAATATTTTAATATAGCCATTAGACCATCAATCAAGTAGTCTATATGAAAATTTTCTGATTCATAAATGTCATGAAATTTTCAGAATAAATTCGATCTCACACACAAACATGAACTTATTGTTAAATTCTCTTGAGTATATGTACATGCCTCTGATGTCATATCGAGAATCATGCTTTGTTTTGATTTATGTAATTGAAACAAAAGTTCTCTTATTTTTCTTACTAACCTTGTAAAAATTTCGTATTCTTTAAAGCATTGAAATCTGCATAGCTCATATTATTTCGTTCTTTGGCTAAATTTTCAATTAACATCTGCATGCTTTCATGATTCAATGCTGATATATTATCAGAGCTTATTCGTGAAACATTTTCAATCATAGATTGAATATCAAACATGCGACATCCAATTTTTTTGAGAAAATATACCGAAACAAGATTTTCATTCGAATCATTCCTTGGTTGTCGGCTGTCTGTTGCATTTTCTGCTAATAGATTAAGTGTGATAGCAGGTCGATCAGATCTCAGAATATGTGACGGTAAATACGATTTCCTTGGTAATTTCATGCCATGCGTTGTTGGAATGCATTTAATAATAGATAGAATATCCTTGATTTTCTTCCATTCAGGTTCAGAAAAATGACTGGAACTGTTTGAAAGATAACTAAGAAGATGTGTAGCTGTTTTAACATTATTAAAGAGATACTGTTGATTTTCGGATAAGTAAAAATCAATTAGTTGTTTAAAATTGCATGGTAGAAGAAACAAATTATGATGAAGTTGTTCTTGTGAGAAATGTTCGGCAATACTAATTGGTAGAACATTCGATGGTAGAGGAAGAACCAATGAAATGTTTAAAGCATCATAATACTTCAGTTTTCCAAAATAACTAATTGGTGAATTGATAGTTTCATGATAGCGAACAACGGACAACACACGTTTCGTATACGAATGATCATTGATATCACTGCTGCAGAGCCATTTGAGTAATTCAATTAATTCGTTAGATAAAAGTGCAGATGAGGTCAGGCTTTCTTCGATGATAGACTTATCAGCCATATGAATTAGAGAATGTTCTTTCAGAGCAGTAAAAAAATGGCTTTTAGATAGTTCAAATGGAACGAGTGGAAGAGGAAGAAAACCATGAATATGCTTAGAATCAGCTAGAAATGTTTGTGTGGATATAACTAATGACAGGTGATTAGCAGATGGTAATCGCTTTGTTGGCACGAAAATGTCGTTTTTCAACGCAAAAAATCCTTTGAGAATAATGGCACCTGTATGAAAGAATCTTTTTTATTAATCGATACTAATCGAATATTAGCTTACCAACTTTCTCACTCGGTGCTGTTTTTTGAAAAGAATATGGTGCCATTATAGTCTCGTAATTTTTGTTTAATCTATTGTGCGAACTATGCGAAATTTCTTGACCATAAATACATCGAGCAATTTGTCCAACGCACGCAATAAGTTCTTCATTCCATTTAGCAGCATATGCATCTTGAAGATCGAGTGTATCACGTTCAACAGTTGGAATGAAATGACTACACACATGCATTCCGATACCAATAGATTGATGTGTACCAAGTCCAATGAATATAAGTCCGGATGGAATAATTTCATTGTCAAGAAATGTAAGTGGTAGTATTGACTTCAATATCTGAGCATCCAAATTATTGCTGGTTATTAATGATTGAAATTGTTGTTGGTTTAGAAGAATCTAAATAGAAAAAATAGTAACAATTCTATACGTTTTCTTTACTTCACCTTAGTTGGCACGAACAACAATTGAATTTGAACAGTCGATGGTAAAGTTTTTAAAATACGTTGAAAATAATTACGAAGTTGCTGATCGATATTTAAATGTGCTTCGATGGTAATATGACCCAGGGTGATGGATGGACCATTGGTAATGGCAAATGTTTGTTCGGTAAATACAAATGAATCGAGAAGTAACATATTATGAATTGAACGGTGTGGTTTGAATGTAAAAGGATTGAGAACCGATGACATGATCGATTTCGTTTTCGACATTTGAAATACAAGCAATTGATTAACTTTAATGTCAAGAGTCATCATGTTCCGTGTAAATGAAAGAGCTATTTAATTATAATGTAGAAATTATAATCGAAACATTGTTCATAGTACTTTCTTGCCTTTAGCAAAATAAGCTTTGAGTTGAGTCAAGTTGATTATTGGTACATCTTCATTCGTTATTCTACTATTATCTAGGATTGATTCAATTCGTAAAATATATTTATCTCGCATTTTTAGAATAATCGAAGTTGTTTTGGTTTGTTGTTCTACAAGTAGCTTATGGCGTAATGTTTGTAAAAATTTATTATCTTGCCAAATAAATATCATGTACTCTTTTCCTGATACAATGATTGGTTCTTCGGCATATGAAAATACGGAGAAAAATCCAACGCCAAATTGGCCAACCGATTCTGGATCTATATTTCCATCGGCAATGGTGGCAACACGTTGCCAATCAGCCGTAGAAAATACATGGCCATTGTTAATCGCACGAATTTCAGTGATCGTACAATTGTTAAAGTGCGTCTCTGCTGAAGATGCAGATGATGCATCGCATTTTATTTCCAAATGAAATGATGTAGCACCTGCATCATCCGCATTTTGAATGAGCTCTCGAAATACAACAAAATCGGATGAATAATGAGTTAGAATCCTATCGATAAGCCTTCGTATATTGATTGAAGTTGATGTTGGTTGTCCGTTTTGCAAAGCTTTCGATCGGAGCTTGTCTGGATTAAGGATCTCTGCCATATTATCAAAGTTTATAGAATCTGAAAAATGGGCACTACTACTTTCTCTCCAACAACAGCACGTGTTAATTTTCTCAACACTTACACCCACAATAGACAATGCTGCGAAAAAAAGAGTCATTTGAAGATTTCACGAATTGCTTGCATCTGCCATTTTCAATATTTACTCTATATTCTACCATGAACTAAAATACGCTAACAGCTAAAAACATTTTGCTATTACTCGACGCCTTAAATCTCACATCGAACGATCGATTTAAAACTGGAAAAATGACTTTTCAAGAGATTGCTTATTTTTACAAGAATTAAAATGTTATTTATTTTTCGAAGTTATTGTTGTTATAATGATAAACTATCTGATTTATGAAACGTTTGCCTTAAAAATATTTGTGGTAAATCTGAAATCTAAAGGTTATGTTTATCAAGAATAAAATTCGAGAGAAATCAAAGTCTAAAAGTGATTCGTTAATTTTTCATAGTAACGTATTTTTTAAGATAGGGATTTTTGTGCAGCATATGGGGATCGCCGAACTTCGCCAATATTGGGGAATGTATGAGGGACATTCACTAAGGACACGCTCGAATATGATATGATCATGTTGAAGTAATTCTAATGAGAATGTGTAAGAAAAAAATGAAGTAACACGTGGTAAACTCTAGACGAACAAAGGAAAATGACAAGTGAATAAATCAAATTGTTAAAAAGAAATAGCGAAAGAAAACAAACTAGAGAAGGCTGAATATAACAGCCTAAATGAAATCAGATAGTGAACTTCACAATGATATTGACAAATCTGAATGAAAACTTTCTTCTTGATTTTTTTCCTCGCTTACTTCTGCCAACAGGACCTCCAACAATATAAGCGAATGATGATATTGTTTCAACCAGCGATCTTTGGTTTAAAGCCAACAAATTTAGAAGTTTGACGATCTGTTTACTTTTACGAGCAGCTGCACGTGTTGATTTGTGTGCTTTTGCTGCTGAGAACCCTAATCCTGTCTGAACCATTCTGTGAGATATCACACTCTCCTCTTGCTTTAAACATTGTAAAAAACGCCATAAATTTGGGTGTGGTTGAATAACACGTGTATAAAGACGATGATTTTGAGCTAAATGTAATAGAAATAATGAAATTACATGTACTGTGACCATTCATGTTCAAAAAAGGCGCTATAAGAAATGATTTTACCTTCAGCGTAGTTGTTGGTTCTCCATGTACTCTCACCAACAGACCATGTCGATGGTTGAAATGTATTCAGCCATTCGCTTTTAAAATATGATAGGAAACATTTCAATTCTTTTGAGTGAGGCGACGCTGCTACATGTAATTTCAAAATTTGAAATGCTTCTTAAATACGATCTATCGGTAATAATGCTAAGCCCATAAATGAACGTAATAAATCTCGTGAGTCAGTATCGTTTTCATAAAGGTTCATCAAACCGAGCTTTTGAATATTACGGTAACAGCAGTATTAGGCAGCTAGTATACAGTACACAAATCAATAAATATTTATTGTATATTGAGAAAAGTAACTGACATACTTCTTTCACAACTGCATCGATGAATGCACGTTCGAAATCGCATACGATTGCAGAAGGCTTTAATTCACAACCCATACGGATCGCCATTTTCTTTAAGCATCGAAACACTGCCTCGTATGATTCGTGGCGTCGGTTGGATGTGAAAATAAAGCATACAGGAACAGCTAAAAAGAAAAAGACATGTACATAGTGACTTATCTAAAATTTCACTCCAAAACAGCTCACCTTCGCCATTCTTTAAGCCGATAATAACATATAATTGTTCAAATAGTTTTGGACATACTTTGAATGTCCCATCTGCAAAGAGAACATTTAATTGCTCTTCAGATCCAAAGATTAAAAGACGTCCACCATAGGCACTTTTTCTCTTATCATAAATCAAGAACAGTTCACTATCATATGTCGTTTGATATGCCGGTGGAATTACAAATCGTTGATCCGATGGCAATGGGGGTAATGCGTTTCGGCGCAATTTTTGTAAACCGGATGCTACAAAAAAATCAAATGATGTTAAAATACGAAAATAAAAATTTACAGACCTAATGACAACGGAAGAGGCATTGCTCTCTTTTCTTCGTACGATAATTGTGCTTTTCTATACTCATCTTCAACAATGACTGTGACGGAAATGTATTTATCAACAACACGGGCTTTGATTTTTGTCAAAATTGAACGTTTTCGTATTTCGGTTTGATCAACAATATGAATATGACTTTGCCCATTCCAATGACTGAATTTACTAGTTACTTTCGATGTATGGATCACTGCTTTGCAATGTTCAGTTCTTTTTGAACATCGCCAAGCAAAAGTTGCTTTTGATTCACTCATGTATAAATAGCTGTATCCATTGAGAAATATCATTCTTCCACCACGCTCTGATGTACCCGTTGTAATATATCCATCGGCAATGGGTACATTTAACATAGCATTACCATCACCAAAAGACGAATCATTTTGATTTTCATCGGATGATGACGTTCCTGAAACAAGTAATGCTATCGGCACACTACACGATGGAGAAGTAGGAGACATTGAACGACAAGATTGAGTATGATGTGGCGCTGGTTGTTGGTTGGATTGTTCAGATGTTTTAACCTCGTATGTTTTTGTTACCGCCAATGAAGGCGGAGCAAATAAATCTGCAATAGATAAATGAGTATCACTGATCGAATGCTTACTATCATGGTAGCGATCGTATTCGACTGACATCAATGACTTAGTTTGTTGTTCATGAAGTTGTTGTTCTGGAATACTTTGTTCTACTACAATAACGATAGAATTTGTCGTTTGCTGCTGGTGTTTCTTGTTTGATCGAAGTTTTCATGTTGTTCCACTAATCAGTAATGGTTCAGATTCTGAAGATAACTGACCAGCTCTTGTTTGCCTAACTGAGTATTTTGTCTCACCAGCTGCATGACGCAGAAGTGCAGCGGCACGTGTTGTAATAGGCATTAATTATCTACAAGTTATTTGAATAAAACATATAATAACGACAGGCGTCGCACCATTCAGCGATGAATCAAAAGTAGATGTATGTTCGGCAAGTCGGCACGAACATACTAGAAACTGTATTAGAATAGGGAAGAGTCCATATTATATATAAATATCATCTCCTCTACTAATTGAGAATGTGAGGAAGTTTCGCCAGTATTGGCGAACTTCGGGCTACTCAGCATATGCTGCCTATTATATAATGTAGAATAGATATCTAGAGTGAATCACATTCTCATTATCTTACTTCTACGGACCTACCTTTTATTACATTTAAATAAATGACAAAATAAAACATCAAATCAAAACAAAGCAAAAATGGCTGACGGTAAACTCTCACTTTCTTATATATATATCGAATGACGCTGTGTCATGTTTTACAAGCATGAGTAATAAAGATAACCATCTTTCAACTTTGGTTTATGCTATTTTTATTGTCACACTCGGAAGTGCTTACAAAAACAGAGAAACATGGAGGGATGGGAGGGATAGGTAGTAACAGACAAAAAAAGGAAGAAACAACAGAAAAGAAAACAAAAAGGGAGAAACAAAGATAAAGATACATAAAGCAAATGACAGCAGTAACTAGATGAACAGAGAATACAAGTAGCGGGAGTTGTAAAGGTTGAGGTAGAATGTTAAGGGGCTGTTAATAAACTACGATTTCGTTTTCCCTCTTTCCTATATTCCTAATTATCACTTTGTTCATTAAAATCAAGCCAGTAAAGGAGAAAGGAGCGGTGTTTTAATTTTAAACGTTTAACCCGTTTTAACATAAATAGATGGCCAACACCATCTTTAGCTTGCTTATGGAAATTATCCCATAGGAATACATCTTCAAGAAATAAGGAAGAACCTAAATCTGAAGAATACATATTTTTTAATCTTTTCGAGATATAATGTTTGACATAAGTATCAAGTGGCTTTTCTCGGGTAAAACTCAAAAGACCCTTAGCGCGAACAAATGGGGCACGATGGACTAAGCGAATTGCTACTCTATATTTTCTTCTAAGTGTCTCTTGGTGTGTTATTGGGAGAAAGCGGAATGGGGAAATATATACGCAAAGAAGCATCTTCTCAAAGTATCTTTGGGCAAAAGTTTGCCGCTACGCAGCCATTTGAGCTTACCCAACGATATTTGGATATTCTCCAGGCTTTTGTTTACAGTGGGTCTCAATGATAATTTACTTGTCCAAGTAAAACCAAGATACTTGAACGAGTCTACAATGGCGATTTTCTGTCCTAACATGTATATGTCTACCGTAGGCTTTCGAATTTGTGAGTAGAAGAGTTGTGCGACAGTTTTCCCGATATTGACTGGCTGTTTCCAGCGAATCGAATATTCAGCAATCTTATCGCATATTTTACTTCCTTCAACCTCTAAATACTCGACTAGAGATGAGAAGGATTTTTGGATGGATGCTCGAACGAGCACGCTCAGGTTGTCAGCGAAGATATGGCTTGAGTGGGCACCCAGACAAGCTACTAAATCGCTATGGTATACTACGAATATAAAGGGACTGAGACTACTGCCTTGGAGAAGACCGACTTGTACTTGAAAAACTTCTGACTTTGTTTGGCCATAGTAAATATGCGCTGTACGGTTATTTAGCCAGCTATGCATCATTTTCACAGTCGACATATATTGTAAGTGTAGGGACGTTCGCAGCTAAATTATTCTGAACTTCCTCAAAAATGGAAAGAACCCTAGTCTGGAGAAGACAGTTCGTTCTGAGCCCTGATTGTTCACGCGGCACTAGATGATTTCCTTCAGCCCAAGTTCGTATTCGATCGAGAAGCACTTCTTTAAAAATTTTGGAATGCGTCGCTGAAAGAGATATAGGTCTAATCTGATTGCAACGTGATATACCAGCTTTAAGTTTGTTGAGGGTAATAATTTTCGAGCTATTCCAGAAACCTGGATACCTCCCCTCTTTTAACCAAAAGTTGAAGCAATTGACTAGACTTTCTATATAGGTTGGAGGAAGTAACTTGATAATAAAATTTGACACCTGATCGATACCTGAAGACTTCTTTCCTTTCATCTTTTTTATAATTTTAGAGACTTCCGCTATGGATGTAGCCTCTAAACCTGTTTCCTTAGAAGCAGTTAGTAAGTTCTGAATTTCTCTAAATTCTGTCTAGATTTCAATATCGTGAGGATTGGATGGATTAATTTCAGGGGCTTTAGCTAAGGCCTTAAAGTAATTATAGAGTTCTCTCGTAATCTCCTGCTCGTCTGATATGATACTGGTTCCTACTGATAATTTGGAGAAGGGTAGCGTTTTTGGTTTATAAATTTTTGAAAGATGCGTCCAAAATGAACTCTCCTGCTTATCATGAGCACCTTGTATGGTGGACAGAAAGCTGGACCATCTGGCCGATCTATACTTGTAAATCTCATTCTGAACTTCTCTTGACATATTTCTTAGCAACACTCTGAGATCGTCGTTACCAATACCAGCTATTTTCCTTTCTCTGTAATATTTATTTCGAACCTGACGAACTTCACGGAGCCTTTCGACTATTTTAGTGCTGCAAGGAAACGTACATAACATTGATATCAATGATCAATAGTTTCCTTTTTTTGTTCATTTATCCAGAAATCTTCTAAAAGCACTAGAATGGCTTGATAAATGGTTCAATCGATGTTCGGAAAAAAGCCGTTGGAAATAAATCCTATGCTTTGAGATCTTAAAACAGTCGGCCAGTGGTCGCTTGAATCGTAGAATATTGTTTCATTCTCAACTCTGTTCAAATTTGTAAATGTTAAATCAATATGTCTATCTGATCTTTTAGAAGAATGAGAGTTGGTGGGAATAAAGGTCAGCTCATTTTCTTCGATCCATTTCTTCAGAGAGTTACTGCGTCTACCATTAGATTGACTACCCCATTCATCTGAAGTTGCATTAAAATCGCCTGTCAAAATAGTACCTTTTACTAAGAAGGGACATAGGTCTTTTAGATTACGCATTTGACCCTGTGGCCAGTATATACCTATTATTCTAATTTGTTCAGAAAGACCATGTATATCCACAATTATCGTATTTTCTATATCAGTATCAATTCTCGTTGCTCGGAGATGTTTTCCTATTGGTATCATAGCCCCTCCGCTATGATTAATACCTTTTTGATAAAACGATGTAAAGTGCGGAACTTTGAAGTTGTTCCAAAGTTCCCCTACTTCGGTAAATACGTATACTGGACTATCAACTTTTAAAATTAGATCCATTACTTCCAAGGCACGAGTCTCCCAGCCTTGAACATTATATGTGAGAACATTTAAAGGAATAAATTGGTTAGATAAAGGACAAGGGTTGTTCTCCCATTTTGTTAGAACATTGTCTAAAATAGAATTACAATACCATTCTTCTAAAATTGGTGTAATTCGGTTATGAACTTTAGTAAGAAACTTTCAATTTACCAGTCTATCTAATTAGGGGTGCATCAGCTCCAGCTCAAAAGTTCAGCTGAGCTGAGCGAAAAAGCTGTTCGAACGTTCTTTCGGTAGGAGCTGATTGATTTGAACAGCTCGTTCTAAAAGAGCTGATCTGATCG